TCATCACGAGCGCCAGCAGAAGTTGCGGCACAAGTCGCACGGTGGCTGCCCGACGCTGTTAAGCCGCGCGGTCCCTGCGGGCACGCAGGTTTTTATCAGGTCCGCCAGCAACGGAGACGTGCGCTCACTTTTTCTTCATCGTCGCGCCCTGGCAAGAAAGAAGCGACGGTCGCTGCAGCATTGAAAAGCGCACGCCTTACAGCGTCCAAATGAATACTATTTTTTTCGGGTTGACTGTATTTATTAGGCATGTTTTATTACAAATGAAGAAGTTAGGAGTAGAGAAAACGCGAACTAAAGCAAAAGAAAATCAATAAATGAGGAAGAAATGAAAAAAACTTTGAATTTCGTGGATCACCGAAGAAAGACGGCACTTGAATTCCGAGGAGTGAGGGTTGCGTATAAGGAGGAGCGAGGTGGGAGCGGGAGAGGGGACAGACCGAGAGCTCAAGTCGAGGTGCGATAAAGAGTTTCTCGTTCATCTTTTTAATCGCCTTCTTTGAGGGATCGAGCAAGAGTGCGTCTTGTTCGTTTCTTTTCTGGAGAGACTTGGCAGGAGCTGGTCCTGGAGAGAACTCTGGGACGCTTTAATTTCCACGTGACATCACCGCTCCTTGACGAGTATCATCGAACTTTGTTACTATTTTTTACGTACAGGATGATATGAGTGTTTCGGGTTGACTGTAATTTTTAGGCAAGTTTTATTACAAATGAAGAAGTTAGGAGTAGAGAAAACGCGAACTAGAATTTTTCATGACATCAAATAGTTTTTATTGTAATGCGTTAATATTTTTCAATTATTTTTTATATGCACTATTTTAATAAAATGTCACAGCAGATTCGTTGAGAGATCTCAAATGTACTCTTGATTCCCAGAAAACTACCCTCACAGGAAGCCCACAATTAATAAGTGGCTAAAAGGAATATTCAAGAAATACCCGCAGAATCAATTTAAATTTAAGAGTTACTGCGATACATCATAACATAACATAACATAACATAACATAACATAACATAACATAACACAGTGATGTCGGCGCTAAAGAGTAGGCCTGATGTGGCCTGTCGCCGATTCATGTACTTTTCGTGACTTGTTCACAGAAGATCTAAAATCGTGTCCTTTAACCTGATTTTTAATCAGTTCCGAGGTTTTTATTGGGAATAACTTTATCAACTTTTCCTCATGAGGTTTTTATTGGAAGATATATTAATCGACTAGTGTATTTGTTACGAATATCTTGCCAAATTTCTGCAGTGTTAGTGGGCAGAACTGATTAACACGCAGAGCCCTGCAATCAATATGCTCTAAAGCAGCGAAGCTTGGATGCGCAAAGCGAAAGTTCATGCCTGCTGAGAGTTGTATGAAGAACCTACGTGGCATATGGCCTCATGCATCGATCATGACCACGGCAAGTTCCATGGGAAGTGTACCTACGTAGGCGCTTGCCGCTTGTACAATGTACATCCTTCAATTAAAAAGGAAGCTTACGTACGCACACGCTTGTACAATGTACATCCTTCAATTAAAAAGGAAGCTTACGTACGCACACGCTTGTACAATGTACATCCTTCAATTAAAAGAACTGCAATAGCCCTGGTCTGGAAGTGGAAGCTGGGAGGGGGGTGCTTCATCACTTGTTATTAACGATTCAAGTGCTGTTCATTTTTATGAAGTTCCTTGCAACAGAGAAGTTTTAAAATTCATTGCAATGATTGCGTTAAGTGCAACTTCAATCTTTTCGGTGCAGTAGGTTTTCAGTTTTCAACACATAAATTTTCAACAACTGAATTTGTAATTTTACTGTATTTTTCATGCTCTTAACATAAGTCACAGACGAAGTCGTTTAATTATTCATGAGTTTATGGAGAATCTGTGATAAAACACCTGCTCGAGGAATTAGTGCCAACTGACTCATGCTCACGAATAAAGATTGTCGTCATTTAACCCTCTACCGCCTGACACGAGTAACAGGTGCAATATTGTCACATGCCTACTTCCCGCAAAGGCTATGTTCTAGTGAGCGCAAAATGACTTGCACTGATGGTTGCCGCCACGTACGAAAACTTTAAAATGTTCTCTGTTGCGTAAAAACGTCTTTGGGTTGCTAAACTCAATAGTTTACGTATGATTTAAGTTGAAAGTTATGTCTTCTGAGTGCCTTGTGGTGCAGGCGTATTGTACCGGACCAAATATTCTTCGAAATTGAGGGCGAACTCGTCAGCGAACTCAAACGCAAAACGTAACTGGACAGCTCATAAGTCCCTCAATTCTGAACGGATCAGCCTGAAATTCACAAGATAACTAATTACTGAAATACGCCGCGAGAGAAATTATTACATATTTTTACGTCATATAGTTTTCAATTAAAATAAAAAAAACGTAGCTATTGCACAACCGAACAGCTCACGACTCTTATATTTGAACGGACCTTCACAAGGTTCCAAAAATATTTAATTACCGGCATAACATCGCAGTTGGAATCTTCGCGAATTTTAACGTTGCTTTATTATCGGTTAAACGAAATTATAAAAAAATTAGGTTAGGTTTGGTCATGTTAATTAAGATACGGTTAACATAGGTTAGGTCAGGCGATTTCTATCACTTCATGCGCTGATCTAACCTAACAATAATCTATCCTAGCCTTATTTATATTACCTAACCTAATTTTTCGAAAGTTTCGCTTCAATTGAAAACGAATGAACGTAAAAAATGGCGACAATTCCTACCACGGTGTCTTGCTGCTAATAATGTTTTAAATTTCATGTAGAATTGAGAGAGTCGAGCTGTTTGGTTGCGCAATAGTTCAGTTTTTTCTTTTTAATCGAAAACGTAAAAACTGATAATTCCTCCGTCCGCGGCGCATTGATAATATTAGTTGAATTGATAATAATTAGTTGCTGAATTTTTTGAAAATTTGTTCGGAATTGAGGAGCTTGCGAGCGGTTCAGTTGCGTTTGAGTCCGCTGACGAGTTAGCGCTCGAGTTCGAAGAAGTGTCGATCCCAAGCAGCATGTTACGGCTCAACTGGTCTCTGTTGTTACAGCTCAACTGGTCTCTGTTGCTACGGCTCAACTGGTCTCTGTTGTTACAGCTCAACTGGTCTCTGTTGCTACGGCTCAACTGGTCTCTGTTGTTACAGCTCAACTGGTCTCTGTTGTTACAGCTCAACTGGTCTGTTGTTACGGCTCAACTGGTCTGTTGTTACGGCTCAACTGGTCTCTGTTGCTACGGCTCAACTGGTCTGTTGCTACGGCTCAACTGGTCTGTTGTTACGGCTCAACTGGTTTCGCAGCCTTATGATAACCTGGGAGCCCTGTTTCTGGATTCTGATGAAATACCTAGAATATTTTGCACACAGAAATAAGTCTTTATGGAGAGTGGTCATTAAATTCACTCCTCGCCATTGGAACCACGCAGGAGTAAGAATAAGACAATTTAATGAACCATGAGTGAAATGCCTAGCACCATATCGAACCCGGTGGAAGTCGAGTAGCTATTTCAAACTTTCGTCAGTCATGAAAAGATCCGGCCAAATGACACGATTTTAGATCTTCTGTGGCACGAAAAGGAAAAGAATCGGCGACAGGCCACATCAGGCCTACACTGCAGCGCCGAGATCACTATGTTATGTTATGAGGATGGCCTAGCTGCCGCCCATCCATGACTCGTTTATTAATGTGAATCCTTATTTTTTTGGTCACTCTCTTCCCATTTTGAACTCACAGCTCTTCTTGGAATTAGCCTCAATTGAAGTCTGTATATCCGCAAATGCAATAAAAGCACTTGGAATTTTTACGCAACTTCTTGTCGATGTGATGTTCTGCACACGGTCTACGCCAGGGACTCCATTGAATATAGAAATTTCACCGCTCGAAAGCCTGTCGCCTCAACTACATAAATTCATCATCCGCGCATAATGTTGTGAAAACCAAAATATATCAGGTTATTCATCTATCAACACTAATTGTTGAAGTTACGTTTACGTTACATTATTATTGTTTCGCAATAGAGTGATCGCACGCCGAGTAATTAAAAAACGCAGTCCAACAAAAGCGACTTCTAAATAATCTATGAAAGACTTTCATAATTCAGAACAAAGAGTTACGCAAGAGCCGCTATGTGATATCATGCACCAAGAACTTAGGATTTAGAGCGGTACCATGGAACCAATACTGAAGAGCTGTGCCATGGAACCAATACTGAAGAGCTTCTCTGTTGTTCCGGCTCAACTGGTTTTGCAGCCTTGGGATAACCTGGGTGCTTTGTTTCTGGCTTCTGATGAAATATATAGAATATTTTTCACACAGAAAAGTCTTTATGGAGAGTGATCATTAAATTCACTCCTCGCTATTGGCACCGCGCAGGAGTAAAAATTAGACAATTTAATGAACCATGAGGATGACCTAGCTGCAGCCCATTCATGACTCAATTATTAGGATGAACACACATTTTTTGGTCATTCTCTTCCCATTTTGAACCCACAGCTCTTCTTAGAATTAGCCTCAATTGAAGTCTATATATCCGCAAATGCCATAAAAGCACATGGAATTTTTACGCAACTTCTTGTAGTAGTGATGTTCTTCGCATGATCTACGCCAGGGACTCCATTGAAAAAGAAAGTTGACCGCCTGAAAGCCTGTGTTGTTACACTACCCAACTACATAAATTCTTCATCCGCGCATAATGTTATCAGAACAAAAATATATCAGAAGGTTATTTATCTATCAACACTAACTTTTGAAGTTATGTACACGTTAAATGTTTACATTATTATTATATATCGCTAGAATGTACACCAAGTAATTTGAAAATGCAGTCCAACAATAGCGACTTCTGAATAATTTATTAAAGTATTTCAGAATTCAGAAGAAAGAGTTACGCAAGAACTGAGATGGTTTCTAGGTTTAGCGTAGAGCGGTACCATGAAACCAATACTGAAGAGCGGTGACATCAAGGCGAGCACTAAGGGGTTCGCACATAGGGAATTAAAACGCTCACGAAGAACTAAACCTTTATTTATAAGAAACATTCCTGGCCTTTGGGTGAGTGTATAAAATTAAGCTAAGTAGTCACTTCCGACGAAATTAGGAGAAAACGTTACGAAAAGATAATATGTCACACTATGAAGGAATATAAAAAAGCCCATTTGACGATAGAAGCCATACAGTAATGGCCAAATGATGCCCAAGTCCAATTTTAAAATTACGAATTAAACGCTACAGATTTTATCTAAAAAAAAAAATGCACTGAAAAAATTTCCATCGGAAATTCGATTTATTGACTAAATACTATGCTAAAAACTTGAAGAATGTTTATGCAGTGAACTTTCTATAGAAACAGCTACTGCGTCTTGCAATCTTCGTCCGAAGGATTGTGGATACTTTTCTTGGGTAAAAAATATTTGTCACTGCCCTTTTCCTCGTCCCTTGATCGGCCTAGAGGAAGAGGAGCCAAGCGGGATGAGGAGTTGTAAACTGCGGATGGACCGGTGCCGAGAGAGCCCGGACCAAATCTCGAAGAGGAGTAAGCTGGGCGCTGGCTAGATTCTGACTCGAGGCCTTTGGGAAGCGTTGTAGCAAATGCTTGGCTGTAGCCTCCACTTGGTCGGGCGGCGTCAACGAAAGGAACCCCTTTGATGACGGCGGCGCTCATGGTCATGGGTGTCTCATGTGAGGGCGAGGTCTGGCGAGAAGTTTTGTCTGCCGAGCGGCCAGACACGGTACAGCCAGAGGGCTTCAAGCTGCTCGACATTCTTGGAGACGCGAGCGTAAACTCGGGAGGAATGTTCTCAGCCGCCTGGAGTAAAAAGTGCGATGCCATTAGTTATGCAGGGAAAAGATACGAGGGAAATAACAATTTAAATAAGCGCCTGGAGTAAAAAGTGTGATATCATTAGTTATACAGGGAAAAGATATGAGGGAAATAACAATTTAACATATCATTGCACTGGAGCAAGTTTATTGTCTGAATCAAGTATTGAATTTATGAGCAACTAACCTTTGTGTTATCAGTTAGAAACTCTTCCTTGCGAGGAGCATCGCCCCTGTAGTTGTTGAACTCCTTCAGAACGTCCCTAGGTTCGTTGGCAGTCTGGTACTTCGAGGATGTATTTTTGAGGCTTGCAACGTCGTCTTTGAGCTTCGCCACGGCTTTTTGGTGCATGAGTGAGGAAGTCTTCCACTGCTGAGCTTTGGTCTTGTAGTGTTCGAGTTGCAGAGATAGAGACTTGACTTCTTTCTCGAGCGATTTCTTGGCTTTATCCATCTGGTAAATGTCCCGCCTTAGGTCCAGGACCTGTGACGACTGCAAACAAAATTTAACTGTCAAAATTTTCATTCTTGACAGTGTCTTCGGCAGATAATATATCGGGAAAGAAACCTAGACAAGTAAACATGTGAGCCAAAATTATCTTTAAAGTATCATACCAGTTTGCAAGAAAAAAAGTCTACGTCTTATTTCACAGCCGCGCCACCGCCGCATGCATAGTAAATCGAAGTTAGATTCGTGACTGTGGAGAGATGAACAGGCCTGGGGAGGGCTTCAACCAGCCGAAAAGTACGTTCAAGTATTGGTTGAACTTGCTATCTAGGTCATTTTAACGATATAATTTTGTAGTTAAAAAATTAGATTTAAATATCCGCAATAAATTACAAATTCTATTAATCGATCAGACTTATTTAAATGAGTGGTAATATTTTCTTGCCCAACTGTGTAGTTGTGCGGAGAGAACGATTGCAGAAAGCGTCGAGAGAAGTACCATTTGCTTATCAATGTCAGGCTGTTTTGTCCCTGCTTTGTGGCCATGAGTGTCAGGTCAACGTCTGCTTTTTATTTCAATTTCATGAACGTCTCAGAGTCACAAATTTTCAGAACCAGAAACTTACGTTCGAGATTTGTTGGGAAGACTCAAATTGAGAGATTTTCCCGTAAGGATATAACTCGGATTTGCAGCAATCATCTTGATGAACAACTTTTTCTCAAAAACATGTAAAGTTTTTATGCAATAAATGATATTTCAATTGGCACAGTTAGTTGAAAGAAACTCAGAAGCTACAGAGTATAGGGCTATTCATACCGTGCAACCTCTCAACAACATCAAGACAGCTTACGAATCTAGCCCGCTGTAGAGATTACCAGTCAGGAACGATTTCTAGATTTGAACTATTATTATTTTGATATCCTAGTTCGCTCACCAGGACCATGTGACTGCCACCGTCATAGCAGAAGTCAGGGCTGTTCTTAACTGGTGCCACGACCTTGCCCCCGTCTACTGGGGGAGTCCCTACGGACGCTTTCTTGTTGCTGGCAGAAGGCTGCAGTTGACACACCGTGTCGTTCAGCGGCGTGGCGTTCTGCAGCCGCCGGAGCTCCTCGAGGTAGCGAGATGCCTGGGGATGAATTCATTATTAGAATAGAATTGTTGGCACTGAAGAAATAGGCCTGTCATAACGTCTCCGAGATCCAGTCAAAGTATCAGTCCCAGTTAGTAATTTACGTTCGAGATTTGTTGGCCCTGCAGCCTAAGAGGCCCATGGCCTTTTAGCTTCAAATAACAGGATATTTTTCCCCAAGGAGGCAAGAGCTTCAGAAAAATTTATTACAGCATAATTTAAACATGCAGTAACGTGAATATTTACTGATGCATAAACTTTTCATGATTACATAGGTATGTTCTGGAGGAAATGGGGTTTTAGAGCCATGTCCACCTTGTTCTCGGCGTACTCGAGTTATGCTCACATTGTTCTCTGCATACTTAAGTTATGCTCAACTTGTTTTCGGCGTAATTGAGTTATGCTCACCTTGTTCTCGGCATAATTGAGTTATGCTCACCTTGTTCTCTGCATACTTGAGTTATGCTCACCTTGTTCTCTGCATACTTGAGTTATGCTCACCTTGTTCTCGGCATACTTGAGTTATGCTCACCTTGTTCTCGGCATACTTGAGTTATGCTCACCTTGTTCTCGGCATACTTGAGTTATGCTCACCTTGTTCTCGGCATACTTGAGGCTGTCTCTTATACACATCTAGATGTGTATAAGAGACAGGTTATGCTCACCTTGTTCTCGGCGTATACTTTAGTTATGCTCACCTTGTTCTCGGCGTACTTGAGTTATGCTCACCTTGTTCTCGGCGTACTTGAGCTTCTCCCTAAGCTCGCTGATCTCCTCCTCGGCGAGGGACAGCGACTCGAACTGCGCCACCTGCGCCTTGCGGGCTGCCCGCTGAGACGAGCTGCTCAGGCTCCCCACTGGCCACAATATTAAATAATTAAATAAACACAATAAAATAATTACAGAATAATTAAACACAATATTAAATAAATAAACACAATAAAATATATTTACAAAATAATTAAACGCAATATTAAATAATTACAAAATCGCAGAAAAAATTTCTCCATGACCCGTGTACAGATGACAGTAACAACTAAGTAAACAAGCTCATTTTACAAACGTTATGGCTATTTTGAATAATAGCGATGATAAATCTGTTCGGAATTATGATGGTTGAATTAATTTTTAGAAAGGGTAATCATTTTCCATGTACGAACACAAGAAAATGTCAGGGCATTGCATTGAGACATGAGTCACCACTCACAGCTGTCAGGAGTAGGACGAGCCTTTGCAGCTCTCAGGGCCTCCACTTCTTCTTCCAGTCTGCACACAAACGTACGTTTAGTAATGGAGTGCACAACTAAACAAGTTTAAACTAGTTAACGTTTAACTAAGTTATGAGACAGTTGTTATGAGTTGAGACTAAGATAGTATGAGCTGAGACTAAGTTATGAGTTGATAACATTCAACTGTTATCAATGCTACTAGTTTTTAAAGGTCTAGTAGCGAGTGTTATCGTCAGCAGTTGATTGAGTCAAATAGAGAAAACGACGAATCAACCAAAGTGGGAATAAATACTCGTATCGAGCTAGCAAAAAAACGCCGTTGAGTGAGTCATAGAATGCCCATTTGGAGTTGAAAATATCTTACTCATAAAAATATTTTCTAATCAGCATCGAGCGGTCTAAACGTCTCGCGATCATAGCATTTGAAAACTCACTTCTTCACATTGGCCCGCAGTTCGCTGCAGTCGGTCTGTAGAAGACTGAGCTGTTCTTCAAGAGTCACAGCCCGAGCACTGAGACGCTCGCACTCCTCAGACTTTGATTTGTTCTCGGAACTAAGCTGCTGAACCTGCGACTTTAAGGTCTTCTCATCAGCTTTATAGTATCCGATCTGGCGTTCGTAATACTGAGCAGCTTCTTCAAGCTCCTGACACTCGCTTTCTTTGGCTTCAAGTCGCTGCCGGTACGATTTTAACTCTTCACTCTCTGCAACGTCATTTTTTCTTTCAGGTCCACCTTGGTTCTGCGCAGCAGTTCTGAGACAAACACAATTTTTGGTCACAAAATTACATTGGAAAACATAACCTGAAATTTCGAAAGTTAACTTGAAATATTTTCATACCACTTGGGACGGGTTATTGTGTAACAAACCCAAGATATTTAAACGGAATATTAAATATTATTCCATAATCACAGTACAATCGTTTAATTCATGAAGACAACTGAATTTTATGCATATACTCACCCAGAAATTATATTTGAAGAGTCCTTGATTACATCGGTTCGTTGAAGACGTTGTATTTGTTGTTGCATCAGCGCCACAGTTTCGCCGAGTGACTTGTTTTCCATCACGAGTTGCGATTTAGAGAGCTCGAGTGCCGCGGCCTCCTTCTTGTAACGCCGCACGAGGTCCTCCGCCTCCTCGTTCAGCTTCCTGCATCTGCCTTCCTTGGCTTGAAGTTGTTCCTTCAGGTCGGCCACCTGTCGCTCGAGATCAGCAAGCTGTTTCTCATAAGACTGGATTTGTAGATTACAATCCAATGATCCATTTTCATTCTGGTGACAGCGGATGAGGGCTTCCAAATAGGATTTTCTCGTTTCTTGAGGTAATAATGTATATAGTTCTGAGGGAACTCTAAGAGAGGTTACCAATTTAGAATACTTGGCTTCCAATTCTTGCACTGACGACTGCAAAGAGGCTCTCTGTCCATCACCTTCTCTTATTCGGCGTGAGAGTTCAGCAATGGTTATTTCTTTTTCCTTAATGACCTTTTCCAGCGAAAGCTGCATCTCACAGTAGCTTTTAGCATACTTGTCATAATCTAGCGACAGCGCCAGATATTGCTGTTCCTTCTCAGAGAGCTTTTGCCTCATATGAATCAGTTCCTGACTGTGATGTTTTTCACGGCCTTGCTCGATAGTCAAGCTGCTGATCTTATCTTCACACAGCGAATGGACCTTCACAAGCGAATTGAACTGCTGCTCTTTTTCACTGATGACCTTCTGACAAGCACTGAGCTCACGAACAATGTTTTGGTACTTCGTTTCTTGCTCGATTACTTTGCACTCATACGAGGAATTGGAATTAATCAGAGCGCAAAGTTTGGCGTCCTTTTCTGTGTTTCTTGATAACAACTCGCAATTTTCCGCTTGCAAAGATAATAATTTCTGCTCCTTCTCAGAAATTTCCTGCTCATGTTTCTCGACTATTTGAGAAAGACGGCATACGTCTTCAGTCAAGTTTTCATTCTTGGACTCTAGTTCTGCTTCAAGTTTTGATGCTAAGTTCAAGCGCTCCTGCAAATACGATGACTTTTCCTTTTCCCGCTTTAATTCATCATTATGAGCGTCTTGGGCATCTTGCCTCGCTGAGGCTTCCGCCTTGAGGGCCTCAATTAGAGCCAGAGCATCTTCATAATTACTCTGAACTTCAGAGAGAAGAGCAGAACAATCGCGCAGCCGAGATACCTCATCCGTGAGTTCAGCTATGTTTCTCTTACGTTTATCATTGTCCTGGCTTAGCTCAAGCATGCTTTTCCTCAAGCTAGCCAATTCTTCATTGAGCTCTGACACTTTTTTCTCTTCATCCATAAGCTGAAGGGAAAGGTTTTCTACGTGATTTTCTTTCAGTTTGATCTCTTGCTCTAATTCAGAAGCAGATTCTTCGAGCTGCTTCAATTGCTTTATTTTAGAGTCGAGCTGATGTCTGAGTTGCACCTCGATCTCTTCACCCAAGCGTTCCTTCTCCCGCAGCGCGTCTTCTTTCTCCTCTTCCTTGCGCTGGACCAAGGCAAGCACTTTACTAAGCTCTTCCTGATGTTCGTTGCGAAGAGCCTTCATGTCTTCATTTTTCCGATCGATAATTTGACGCAAATTTTCCACATCAGTGCTTTTTCTGCGAGATTCTTCGTGAGTGGAGAGGAATTTTTTAACGACATACTCGATGGCATCTTCCATTCTGAAGACTTCTGATGAGTCGGCTGCGTCCAGGAGACGGAGGTCTGGCAAGGGCATTTCAGAGTCTACGGCAGACGCTAGAGTTAATTTTTGTGAACAACTTGCACAGAGGGAAACGAGAGCTGCATGGGCCGTCCGACAATCTGCCAGGTCCTTCTTCACAGCCGCCAGCTGACTGGAAAGGCTTTGTAAATTTTCGTTCTTGACAGAAAGCTCAGCCAACAAATGCTCTTCAGTTGAACATTTTGACGCTTCAAGCTCCAACGCGAGAGCTTTCTTCTGGAAAAGCTCTTCTTTTACTTCTTCAAACTTAATTTTTTCCGTTTTCAAATTCTGTTCCAACTCCTTGACTATGTTGCTATGTTCTTGAACCATTACTTCTACTTTATCTGTAAGTTCGGCAATAATTAATTTCTGATTCTCTATTGTCGAGCTCTTGTCTGCACACTCAGACTGAAGTGCATCACAGCGTTTAGTAAAATTCGTCATCTCGTTTTCCATCTTGGTATCGTTTGCAGATAAACTTGAAACTCTGTTCTGTAGTTCTTCTAATTTTTTCATGGCATCTTCATGCAGAGTCGATACACGAGATAGCTCTGAATTTTTATCATCCAAGTCTCTTTGAAGGCAAGATATTTCCGACTTCAGGCGCTCGCAGTCTTGGCAGGGGCGAACGGTGCACTCCGGCTCGAGATTATCACTCGTCATTAAGTCGGAACTCATCTTCACACATGGAGTGAGATTAATAGTGCCAGGTGAGCTCGGCAGCGGCTTTGGAGAGGCCATTTCAATCTCGCCCTTTTCCAAATGGATTTCGGACACAATGGTTTCGCATGGATCAGTAGAAATTTCCTGTTTGGATAAACTCTCATTGACGTTCACAATCAACTCGTCTTTCATTGAATCTTTCAATGAGTCACCGATGGGCAAGTTATTTGTCAAATATTTGTCATCGGCATTCTCAACCATAACCACGGTAGCCGCAGGTTCTGTCTTAAATTCAGTGACTTCGCGATCAACTGACGTGTCGACATTTTTGACCGGAGTAATTGAAGTGATGCTTTTGGACGTTTGCACTATAGATGTTTCGAAGGTCTCTCTAGTGGCCTCAAAATCTAATTTGGAATCAGTCCCAGACCCGGGGGGAATCCCGGCATCAATATGAACCTCTTCTTTCTTGAGGTTACTAAGAGCATTTCTTAGCACGTCGATTTCAGCAATAAGGCCATCTCTCTGTTCCTCCAGGTCGGCGACGCGCCACCTGAGGCAATGCATTTCTTCCACCTCGAGGTTGGCCTCAGCAAGTTTTTGCTTCAGGTCATCAATCGTAGGACCATCCACTTGCACTGTACATTTTACAGTGTCATGTAAGGTGGAAGGTTTAACCGCTGTATCTTCATCTGAATCACTACGCTGCTCTTTGACGTCTTCGTGCATTTCTGCGTTTAACTGAAGTTTTGTATCGGAAGCAGTTTTAGTTTGCAGGTTCAAGTCCTCAAGTTGTTTCTCAAGAAGCTCGATACGCTGCCTCTGTTGTTTCAGGAGCTGTTCTTTTTCTCCAATAGTATCCATTTTCTGGTCAAGACTGCAGGTCACGTCATCGAGATCAGCGAGAAGATCGGCAACGCGACGAGTCAAATTATCTTTCTGCCGAAGAAGCTCGGCGTGAACTTCTGGGTCGATGGTGACTCTAGCCGAGCCCATATTCTCAATGGTTCCATCACTTCCAGCAACTGCCTGGCGAGGAGCTCCTAGTTCTTTAGGAGAATCTAGGACGGGCAATGCTGAGTTGGTAGTTTCGACAGTTTCCTCAATTGTATCCAAGACAGAATATTCATGGAATCGTCGAGATCTCGACATGTGAGGTGAAGCATCACATTCTTCATCAGGCAAGGAAGGAGTACAAGTCTCATTCAAACTTGTAGTGCAGTTTACAGCAGACGCCATACGCATTTCCTCTTCTAAAGAAAGCGCGCCATCAGCAGAGGCTGCTCCCATCAAAGAAGCATGTTGGTGGAAGGTTATTCCCATCGTCATATCACAGTCACTGTAGTCCAAGACATCAGAATCATGTCCGGCAATGGTCTTGTCTTCCACGCTTGTCACTTCATGTACAGCTTGTGCCTCGTGTTCTACATTACAGGGGCTGGAAATATCTAAATCACGCCCATCAAGTTCTTGAGACTCTACGGATGAATGTACAGCACGACTGACCTCAGAGGGGAAACTTTTAACTACTGTAACAAGATCGTCATCTTGAACATCGTCAAATGCATTTACAGAAACTGGAACTTCAGTACGAGATAAACTCTCAACAGTTCTTCCGTCCACTGTAGCAGAAGACTCCATCACAGGCTCATTCTTGGATACTGCCGCTTGTTGCAGGCACGCACATAATGAAGCATGGGCGAGATAATCAGCCCTGAAGTCCTCGAGGAGCTGCCACGTGCGCGACTCTACTTCAGCCTCAACACAGATCTGTTGAACAATAAAATGCAGTGAACAAATTAGCCGTCATGCCATACTTGTCTGGAGCAGGGAAAGCAGATCTTATAAGCATATAAAACTAAACAGTAGAGTTGAATAAAGAAACGAATTAACACAATTCAACGTATTTCATTGATGTTGTTAAGCATTTTAAAAATAAAGCAAGCGATATAATTTATAACCTAAAATTCATCAACTCTACAACTCGGACCATCAAATATTAGCTTGATACATTAGTCACTGGAGCAGCAGACGACGTACCAAGCAATAAGGCAGCAGGGCGGCAGACTCTGCAGCGCCGGCGTCAGGGCAGGAGGCGGCCAGCAGGGCGTCCTGCAGCGCCAGCAGCTGCTCCCTGATGCCGTCCAGCTGATCAATGGTCAGCTCCTCCGGCACCACCTCCGGCCTGCGTAACGTAAACATTACCGTCAAGTGAAGTGACTTCGCCTACCGGGGGTGACTTCGACCACCACTACCACAAAAACAAATGGCAGCAAAACTAAATAATAAACGATGGCCAAGTCACCCCGGAGGCCAAAGTCACTCCATTCACTTTAGCCAACATTTATTTTGTTTTGCTGCCATTTGTTTCTGTTGTAGGTGTGGCCGAAGTCACCCAACTTGACGGTACGTGGAGATTAGCAAGTTAAAAACGTGAGCAATTTTACTCACCAGAGGAAGAAAAGTTTTATTTCTCACATTTAATAGAAGTATAATGATCAAAATTATTGAAGACTGAAAACGTGGTAAGAAATTCCAGAGTGAAATCTTCAAGCGTCTTGTACTAAAGATAACAAGTAATGAATCCTATCAAGCCAGCGCAAAACCGTTTTAATTATGAAAATATATTCATCGATAATGCACTGTGTTGGACTCCACGGTCTCACCTCATTCTTACTAGATGGGGCGGACGACACTCTCCTCATGAGGCGGAAGCTTCTCTTACTGGAGGAGCTCAGGATGCGTTGCTTATCAGAAAGATCCTCAAGTTCCTGTAGCAATTGCTCCCTTTGATCTTTGAGCTCTTCAAGATCCTGAGATAGTAATAGTGTCTCCCGCTCTTTTTGACTGAATTCCAGCCGAACAGATTCCAAACTTTCCTGTATATGTTTCAATTCTTGACTGCAGAGTTCAAAACTGGTCTTCTGGTCAATACATTCTTGTCGAAGTTTCTCCATGCTCTCTTTCTCCAGTTCAAATTCGTGCTTCAGAACTCTGAATCTTTCAAGTTGGTCCTCGAGTTCTTTCTTCTGCTCATCGAACGCTGCTTGTTCATGACGCAACTCGTCTTCATGCTGACTCAGCTTCTGTTGCAGTGCAAAGATTTCTTGAGTCTTGGCGATTAATGCATTCTTATTCCTTTCTAAATCTTCCAATTGATTCTGAATATCAACTGTAAATAATTCATCATTCACTCTTTCGTTTCTCGCCTCAGTTTTGGAGGTATGAAGATCGCCCTTCATTAGGTCGCTATTTTCATCGTTTGCTTCAACATTCAATGGCCCTGCTTCATTTCCCTCCTTATCTTCGACATGTACGAGGGTTTCTTGGTCAATCATGGGTATTTTAGAAGCATCATCCTCAAGTACTGAACATTTCGACACATCAGGCATAATTTCTTGCGATTTATTGGCATTTTCTTCTGGCAGGTCATCGCTTGCGTCAAATTTGGCCCCGAGTTTGCTCACCGCAGGTTGTGCGGATGGCAACTCACCAGCTTCCTCACATAGAATAGATGAGCTTCCCTCAGAACCGTGTTCTTCAAGCTTCTCAATTGTCTCAGAAATATTAGCAGCAGAATTAGCACCGCATGCAACAATAATGTCAACAGAAGGCACATTCTCAGGGCGCTCGTTTACAAGATTCGCCACCAACACACTGGATGTTTCTGCTTCAGATACCTTCTCGTTTGATTTCATTTCAGGATTTTGTTCTTCCTGAGTCCCAGCAGGCAGGCCGTAACTCAATGGATTATCCTTCATCAGTTGCAATTCTTGGAGCATCAGTTCGCGATTCTCACACGCTTCTTGTGCAGCCTGCCGACATTCTTCAGCACGCAACTTCAGCTCAGCAATTTGAGCCAGCAATCTCACCTCGCTGTCATTTTTAGCTTCCAGTGCGGCACGCAACTCAGACAAAGCTGCTAGCTGATCAGCCGCTGCTGCTTCCTTTACTAACTGAAGCTCAAGAGTTCGTTCGAGATCAGCACAGCGCGTCTGGAGAGCTTCAACCTTGGCGTCCACTTCGCTATCCGGCGATTCTACAGGCGCGGCTGTAGCTTCCCTGCACTCCAGCTGGAAATAATTATAATAATAATCATTAGAAATCATTATTTCCATCTTCAGCTGGAAATAACTAACATAATAAAATCATTGTCACGACAGAATAATCAAAACGTGATATATGATATAGGATAATCACGACGTGTTAATCAAAAAGCTACAGTTCAGACAATTTGCTAAAACCTCAAACCGAAAAACTCAAAGATGTGCAGAGTCCAACACTGAAGCTGGTCAAGGACGTAATCTGTACCTATCATTAAACGTACAAGAAATGAGCGTAAATTTACCTCCGATTGCAGGGAAGTTCATGACTTTATTGCAAGTTTCATGAGTAAAGGAAGTATTTGAGCAATACGATTAGTAACATTGAAGAGAGAACCTCAGCCAACACACCTGCGAGGGATGCAGATCTCTGTCAGCCAGGGCAGCTTCAGGAGCCGCTGACGACGCTTCTGTCTCCTCCACTCTGCAAAATAATTCCAAACTGAACACTGTAACATTGTTATCACTGTAACATTATACATGTATATTTATATAATTATCACCGTAACATTATATACAAATATTTATCTAACTATCACTGTAACATCAACTATATACTGATACATATATTTATCTAATTTGGCATGTTTTTGAAGCCTGCCACAAGAAATATATGGGGCTCTCCTAGCGCGTATCTAACGAACTATTCGAGTCGGGATATTACCTGGACCTGGAATCTCAGCCTTAGGAAGTAATTGACTTAATTGAAATTGCGGGATCTTTAATTGCAAACATTATAGATTCTAGGCAACGGGATTTTGGACAATGTTGGGATATATCCAGGAAAATATTCTGGCGGAGTCGGAAAAAGTTCGGCTCGAGTATGGCCAAATTTCAAGCAAATTTTTGACTAAGTTAAAAAAAATGTTTGACGATTCAGGAATAAACCTCGGGTATTTTTTCTTCCTCGCAACGCCAGGCTAACTTATCAGTATAATGCAAGATTAATATAGATAAATGTGTGAAAGAAAGTTGAGCGACTTCAAACAACCTATTGGAAAAACCTACCGTTTTTGCTCATGTAGAAGCTCAGCTTCCACCTCCTTAATTTTCTCTTGCAGCGCAAGATTCAAAGCTTCATGTTCCTTCAGCTGCAGCTTCAGAGGCTCAAGTTCCAGCAGTTGCAGCTTCAGAGGCTCAAGTTCTTGCAGCTGCAACTTCAGAGGCTCAAGTTCCAGCACTTGCAACTTCAGCGGTTCAAGTTCCAGCACTTGCAACTTCAGAGGTTCAAGTTCCAGCACTTGCAGCTTCAGAGGCTCGAGCTCTTCACGCAGCGAGGCCAGGGCAGCCTCGAGAGCCTCTGAAGACGCTTCAGCCTCCTCCACTCTGCAAAATAATTTTAAACTGAACCAAGGAATCCATACAAGCTTGTTCAACGTTAGTGTGTATTGCCAGCCAGGCACTCTGACTCTAGCGCGGATGCACCATATGTCTCGTGACGGGATATTGACGGCGCCTGAAGACTTCTCCGGGGGTAAATTGATTATTAGCAGATAAAAATGATGCGATTCAGAACGGTGGGGTTAGGAATGGAGGGATTCAGAACGGAGGGGTTAGGAATGGAGTGAGAGTGGGAATCGTGAGAGAGTGGGAATAGTGAGAGTGGGAATAGTGAGAGAGTGGGAATTGTGGGAGAGGGGTTCAGAATGGAGGGATTCCGGTGATGGAGAGTATTCTGAAATGGAGGGGTTCGGAATGGCGCTATCCGGGTAAGCGAGATTTAGGAAACTCGGGCACGGGAATAACAGTGTTACGGGGCGGTGCGGTGTGCGATTATCAAATGGCATGATCATCTAGATGATGAACGCATTGAATAAAAATAAGATGATGAACATTGAGATGATGAATCTGTACCTACAGCACAATGCAGTTTGGAACAATGTACCGTCAAAGATCTGCAGACAGGCAAAACTTGACAGAGAACCGAAAATTTTCTGACACTGAAAAATATCTCTGCCAAATTTGACTAACCAGTTCTATAGCTAGCCAGGCTAACCTAGTTCTATAATATAATTTTATTAAGTTCAAAATGTAACAGAAAATAGTAAGATTTTAGACCAACCGACTGGATGAAATTCTTACTGGTTCTGCTTTTGTTGCAGCTCAGCTTGCATCTCCTCAATTTTCTCTTGCAGCGCAAGATTCAATGTTTCACGCTCCTGCAGTTGACACTTTAGAGGCTCAAGTTCCAGCACTTGCAGCTTCAGAGGCTCAAGTTCCAGCACTTGCAGCTTCAGAGGCTCAAGTTCCTCACGTAGCGAGGCCATGGCAGCCTCGAGAGCCTCTGAAGAAGCTTCTGTCTCCTCCACTCTGCAAAGTAATTCAAAACTGAACAACATAATTCATATTTAACCCGTTCACGGGTAAGTTCCCATATATGATCACTCGAAATCGCCGCACAAGAAGCCCCACCACGGCTTCCTGTTTGTTTTTGAGGCATCCTTATAATGCCTCAGTCAATCACTAATTATCTGACCATCGTTCTATCTATAGCATCATTGTGTTAGAGAAGTCAGGCGCCTTAAAAACATGGGGCAGGTTCGGCGCGTATTTATGATACATGTAGTACAAGGCGTATTACGCTTGTACTACTTGTACAAGTAGTATTTATGATACAATACTCTCTAGTCCAGGCATTATCATGGCCTGATTTGTAAGTTTTTTTAGGATTGCTGTGAACACGTTTTAACTGAACTTTTTGTTAACATACGAGTGTGAACTTTCTTTTTTTGACGCTAGTAAAAGAGCTGTTATGCAGTGTGTATGACCGATTTAAAGGTCGTGACCGCAGGTCAGCACGCACCCAATTCCTATTCCTGACAATTTATTCTTAGTGGGAGCCTAGTAAGCCATTGCAAAACGGGGAGAAAAGTGATCAAAAATCAAAATATAATTTTTACACGTTTATGAATTAAATTTACACACGTATGACGTTTTTTCATACTTTTAAACGAGAGTGAAATGGGATTTTAATGTTAAACTAGCAAGCTGGCACGACTTTGTCAGAGATTGATAACCCTTGCAATTCTATATAGAATGCATAGTCCTGACTACCATCTCCTCTATCTCCGTAAATAATATTAAATAAGATGATTTGAGCATCCGGCGATGCAACTTTAGCTTTATTGTTTTTAACGGGATTAGGTGTGACTGGATTCGGAAATGGCCGACAACGTCAAACTAACAAGCTAGAATTATATTATTTGATATAGTAATGTTTTAACAAAAAATTGTACAATTTCATGCCGAACAAATTTGCAAAATTCTTACCGCTTTTGCTTTTGCAGAAGCTCTGCTTGCATCTCGGCAATTTTCTGCTGCTGCGCGAGATTTGAAGTCTCCCTCTCCTGCAGCTGTAGCTTCAGAGGCTCCAGTTCCTGCAGCTGCAGCTCCAGAGCAGCTGTGTGCTGCAGACGCGCCTGTACAGCAGCTGCATCGCTGCCTTCGAGACGCGCTAGGTCGTCCCAGGCTTGCTATCGAACATAAAGACTAATATTAAATTTTTCTACACTTTACATTTCAAAAAATAAATGAATAAATAAATGAACATAACTAAAAAAGAAAAATTATTCACATTTAATAAGTTTCAAGACCAAAGAATTTGCTTTATGGACAATTTCTTATTAGTTTTTTCAATTCATCAAACAATATTTTTCGTTTGCACAGGTAAATAAAAAATCAATAACATTAACATTCTTCAGTAGTAGTATCCTTTTTACATGATTTTGTATACATGCTGATCCAAATTACATCACTCAATGCGTCTTGTAACTCGATAATGAGTGCTGCTACATTCAAAACGTTGTGAACAAAATGTCCATCGGTACTCTGATTGCACTGGTAAATCGAAAATCAGGCAAACAAAAAAAATATTGTTCGATATATTGAACAAAATAACAAGAAAATTGTATTTAAAGTAAATTCTCTGGTCTTCAATGAAACGTGCTTAAATGAACAAATTCTGCCAACCTATAAAAACCTTCGCACTTATGACAATTAAAAATATGTAAATGTTATTCACAACATGCCTCTTACTGACAGCGTTGCTATCCCATAGCAGATAATTGCTACTTGAGACGTGGCTCCTCGCTAGTCATTGCTTCCTGCTCACCATTGCAGCTGCAGCTCCAGAGCAGCTGTGTGCTGCAGACGTTCCTGCAGCTGCAGCTTCAGAGGCTCCAGTTCCTGCAGCTGCAGCTCCAGAGCAGCCATGTGCTGCAGACGCGCCTGCACGGCAGCTGCATCGCTGCCCTCGAGACGCGCGAGGTCGTCCCAGGCTTGCTATTGAACATAAACACGAATATTAACTTTTTATACACATTACATTTCAAAAAACAAATGAATAAATCAATAAACATAACTAAACGAAATAAATTTATTCACATTTGAATAGGTTTCAAGACCAAAGAATTTGTTTTATTGATAATTTCTTATTAGTTTTTTTTTTTCAATATATTGCACAAAATTTTTCATTTGCACGGGTAAATCGAAAATCAATAATATTAAGATTTTTGACCAGCATTCTTTTTACATGATTTTGTGTTTACGTTGATAAATTTCATCACTCAAGTGTTTTGTAACTTGAAACTGAATGATTGATACATTCGAAACTTTAACAGAATAAAAATGTCCATCGGTAACTCTGATAGCCTGATTTTCAATTTACAGGTGCAAACGAAATGTATTGTTCAATATATTAAAAAAAACTAATAAGGAAATTGTATATAAAGTAAATTCTCTGGTCTACAATTAAGCCTGCTTAAAGGAACAAATTTTGCCAATCTATACCAATCTCTGAACGCATGACAATGAAACGCATGTAAATGTTTATTTGCAACATGAAAAAATGCAATGGGTAGCCAATTTTTTTAAATAATTCCACATTATGAATAAAATAGTAAAGGTCAAAAAGCGTGCACATTTCCCCTTGCCACAGTTTCTCAGTCATGGTCTAGAAAACAGCGTCTGTATAGGAGATAAGCGTTCTATCTTCCATCACAAATATTGCGACATGAGACGTGGCTCCTCGCTAGTCATTGCTTCCTGCTCACCATGAGCAGTGATGCTCACCTCTAGACTCCAGCTCACCTCTAGACTCCAGCTCACCTCTAGACTCCAGCTCACCTCTAGACTCCAGCTCACCTCTAGACTCCAGCTCACCTCTAGACTCCTGCTCACCTCTAGACTCCTGCTCACCTTTAGACTCCTGCTCACCTCTAGACTCCTGCTCACCACGAGCTGTGCTGCTCACCTGGAGGCTCTGCCTGAGGTGTTGCTCCGTGTGCCGCTGCTGCTCGAGCTTGAGTTCCAGCATCATGTCGAAGTCAAGTCGGTCCTTCTCCAGGGACCCCACGCTGTCTCGTTGTGCTTTCTGTCAACAAAAGACGAGTCAATATGGATGCATTAATCAATAGCATAATTCATGATATTATATTTAGCACATTTTCTCATTTATGAAAAAAGGTGCTATTGTACTCGCCATGTCCGTCCGTCTGTCCGTCCGTGACCACGTTTTCGTCGACGAGAAAATGCGCTCTCTGTCACTCACTGCAGTGAGTACTGAGTAAATTATCCATTTATTTTTATGGTTAAATGCATAAAATAACCCATAGAGCAGACTTACTAGCTCCTTCTGGAGTTTGTTATTGTCTTCAGCAAGCTGCGAACAACGTTCCTTCAGTTGGGGCAGCTGTCGAGCGTCATGCTCTCTTGTTATTATGATTAATAACATAAAATAACCCATAGAGCAGACTTACCAGCTCCTTCTGGAGTTTGTTGTTGTCTTCAGCGAGCTGCGAACAACGTTCCTTCAGTTGGGGCAGCTGTTCAGCGTCGTGTTCTCTTGTTATTATGATTAATGGCAAAAAATAACCCATAGAACAGACTCACCAGCTCTTTCTGAAGTTTGTTATTGTCTTCAGTGAGCTGCGAACAACGTTCCTTCAGCTGGGGCAGCTGTCGAGCGTCATGCTCTCTTGTTATTATGATTAATAACATAAAATAACCCATAGAACAGACTTACCAGCTCCTTCTGAAGTTTGTTATTGTCTTCAGTGAGCTGCGAACAACGTTCCTTCAGTTGGGGCAGCTGTTGAGCGTCAGCTCTCAGCGTCATGTTCTCTTGTTTGAGCTCATCCATGGCGAGGGCTGACATGGCGAGCTGATGCGTCTGATCAACCAGCTTCTTGTTAGCGTCCAGCAGCAACACTTCAAGGTCCTGCTGCGAGCGCGTCAGGCTTGAGATCTGGCTCTTCAGATACGCGAACTGAAAAGATAAGAATTATTGTAGGTTACTGTGCATCTTTTAACATTTGGAATCTAAATTTCCCGACATGGTTATGACAAGTGTCTTGTTTTCTAAATTTAAATAAATAAGCAAAGCCTTCAAGTTGCAGGTACAAAGGCATTCAAGATTGCAGGTACAAAGGCATTTTGGAAGTTACACAGAGCAACCAAATTCTCAAGTATCAAACTTTTTAAACGCAATATCTATGTATTTCAATAAAGCTCAATGGAATTATCATTAAAGAACAATAGGAAAATATGAAGAATTGAAAATGGCAGTGGCACAGTATTTAAAAAAATGTAAGGCTAAGATTTCACAAAAACATAGAGTAAAATTTTATGGCCACGACATTACTGTGAATGCACTAGGAATTAATTCAAAATTAAAATGTGAATTATAATAAACTGATTTCTGGAAGGCGTGAAATTAAAAGAAAAGCTTGTTCACTCAGTCGAACAACCACCGAATGACCTTGACTATCGTCACCCACGTAGTTCAGGTCGAGGTCTAATCAAGTTAGCTACGGCATTAAGATAAACGTTAATCAGCAGTTAGCTATGACATTACGATTATTGCTAATCAGCAGTTAGCTTTGGCATTATGCTAAAGGTTAATCAGCAGTTAGCTTTGGCATTACGATAAACGTTAATCAGCAGTTAGCTATGGCATTAAGATAAACGATTATCAGAAGTGAGTCATAAAAATTTTATAAATGGTAATCAACAGATAGTTGATAATTCGATGAATAATAATCAGTGGTTAATTGCGGCAATAAGATGAACAATGATCAGCAGCTAATAAAGAAGATATGCTAGAGATGGCGACCTGCTGCTCGTCGGTGCTGTAGTCAAGTTTGGACAGCAAACTGTGCTCCCGGTGCTCAAAATCTTCCGACAAGAACTCGTTCAGTTCCTGCAATTCCTTGAGCTCATTGGTGAGCTCCTGCACGCAGCAGTCCTTCCTCTGGAGCTTTTCTCTGAGGTCTTCAATGCGCTGACGCAGCTCTTTCCTGGGCGTTTCTGCTGCAGGGGAGCAGGGCAGGCCGTGGGACGGTGGCAGGGTGTCTCTCTGAGGAGACATCCGTCGCGGTGTGCAGGGCGACGCGAGCAGGCTGTGAGTGAGATAAATGATGTACAAATGATCCGGGTTAGAGACAGTCATTCAACAATAGAATTATGCTTCCACAGCGGTAAATTTGTTTTTGTTTTTCTTTCACGCACAAGGTAGGCAAACTTTGTTTTATGCTTCTGTACAAACCAGCTCATGGAGCAAGTAAATTTGTGAGACATTGAGTACAGATTAGGAACATTTCACATGCTTAAAGCAAATAAAATGATCGATCGAGATAAAATTACCCACTGGCCAACATATCTATTATATATAAACAGTAATTAACTAATTATAAAGAAAATTCAACAAAGCATAATTATCAAGAGTCTACCCAGGTTTGCCACACTAAAAATAAGCAATAATTACCAGCACTTGACTCACTTGATCTTGGGCAGGAGCGAGGTGTCTGTTTGAGCCTCGGCATCAGAGAAGACCTTACAAGGTGGGGACGGGGCTCTAGCCCCCCGCTTCCTCCTGACGGTGACGGACGGAAGGTCGTCTGCAGCTTCCTCAGGGATGGGCATCGCGGTGCTGGCGAAGGAGACCCTGGTCCTGTGACGAGCTGGAGGAGGCGGAGGACGCATGCATCCGTCGCTCAACGACTGGTCCAGCTTGTCCAGCTGGCTTTGGTCCAGCCGCTTCAAGATGCTCGTGCTCATGTCAGTAAATTCTGCAAGGGTAATTGTAACTCTCATAATAATAAGTTAGTGGTTTTGGCGATCAAAAGTTGATCTTTTGCGGGCATTTGATCAAAATTAGCAATTTAAAATTACGTCTATAGTCCCCCACTGCCTCTCATGGTTCATGCCAGATGCTACGTTAAGCCATTCCCTCCAGTCATCGACTTATTATTCCTATTAAAATTACTTGACTGCTTAAATCGCAAGTTTATCAAACATTTAAAAGCAAAGAAAATAGTAGAAAATTCACCATTTCTTAAAAAGGAAATTTCTTCCTTTTTAAGAAATGGTATATTTTCTGGCTATTTTCTTTGCTTTTAAATTTTCTTATTATTCCTTTCATAAAATCGCCTCTTAGCACGACCTAACAAGGCAAAACAAGCACTATAACTGTAAGCAAACACACAATGAACGCAGATCTTTATATAACTTGTGGCGGAAGTAAGCAATAAGCCGTCAAGGTATGCCCGTAACTTGTAAATACTTCCTATTAATGCAGTTAGACAGTGCATCTCCATGCCTAATTGCCTACGCATTCGGTAAAATAATACATTTCTGGAACATTGTGTGAATAAAGCGTAGGTAATTCTGACTTTCTTTTTTAATGTAGTATTGAACACAGCTTGTGTGCAGGTGTTGAGAAGAATAAGAATGTGGTTTGAAGCGATGTAGAGTGTGTAAGGCGCGGTAGTTTCGTGGCCGTGGCACCGGGTGTTGTTTATGTTGAACGTTGGCGAACCTATCGCGAAGGGAATTCCATCAGTTGAAGAATTAAAAGCCTGTAAGAACCTTAAAATTCGCGCCAAAAGATTGTTCTACTGTTATGACCGTCACGCCAATACGGTGTGCAGCTATCTCTGCAAACGTAGGTAACGGCCACGGCTGTTGGGGTCAGAAATAGATTGCGAATGTAGTAAATAACATGTCCATAACCAATGACGCTTTTTGGTTCTACTGCACAAATGAATTTCCACCTAATCATCGTATACCCGATAAATTGTCCGAAACAGAATAGTTGTAATTTTGGTCATTATTTATAATAATATACTTATGAGTTCACTTTAGTCTTCATCACGGCGAGTTAAACTGGAATTAATATAAGATAGGTACAGAAAATTTGTCACGGAAACAGCTTATGGTGACGGAAAATATTTTCCACAGATTTTCTGTCCAAATTTGCTCACCGTCAGGAACCGTTGAAAAAGAGCAATCGGTTGGAGACTCTGCTTCCGAGATCTGGGGTAACGTCCATCTGAAAATAATCCCCAGGCACGTTAATTACGGTACAGTAGGTACTTCGGCAAATTCTTCTGACCACAAAACAAAGGCTATGATTATAACAACTTTGGCTACAATATTGGTGCTTCATTACCAATCTGTGCAGAACGCCTGACTGTGCAATTCATGATCGAACTCTACAGTACAATCCAAATCACTTTTGCCTATTAGCAGCAGAGTTATTAAGCCATTTCAACGCAACAGGAAGCATTGTAATGGAAATAATGCACTCTCAAGAAATACACCCTGACTTGTATATTACATTAGAAAATATTATTGAGAGAGATACACAGCCTACGCAGTGCAACTCAAATGCTCACTTGGCCACAGTCCAGCTTATAAGCTAACAAATTAATTAAATATAAACGAAACAAAACTTCCTATTGGAATCCTGCAGAGCATAATGAAAGTTTATCCCTACTTGTCTACCACGCTAAGTTAAGTCAGNCTCTACACCAGCAACAAGTCAGACACCTGCTGCAGCCTCTACACCAGCAACAAGTCAGACACCTGCAGAAGCTCATGTCAGCAGAGGCAGAGGACGGAGCGGGAGGCCCGTTGAAGGGGTGCGAGAACTCAGCGTTGATGGAGGCCAGGTCCAGAGGACACATCGTCGCGCGGCCCTTCACAGCTGGCGCTGCCCATGTCTGCCGACGCGACTTCTTCAGATCCTGTGAAATTAAGAATTATTACATCAAAATTTCAAAGACATTCACGCGGAGACTCTTGTAATTTCATAACTAGTTTAAATTCAGAATTCTTACACTCAAAATTTAAAAGACATTCACACGGGAACTCGTGTAATTTTATAACTAGTTTACAAAAATCTAAGACAATCAAAATTTGAAAGACATTCACACGGAGACTTGTGTAATTGTATAACTAGTTAAGAAAACATTCACGCGTAGACTTGTGTAATTTTATAGCTAGTTTAAAAAATTTATACAATCTGACATATACAGCAAACCTGAATCACGAGGCTGACACCATAGCGCCTTAAATGTATTGTATAGCGTCAGGTTCAGCCATTAGTGTTAGCGCTTCTTATATAAATTAAAATAATATCGAAAAGAGGATCAAACATGCTGACAGGATGGAAAGAACGAATTTATGATGAATTGTTAAAGCAGTACAACTCCGTTTTCTCATTAAAAATTTTAAAGCAAAGAATAGTCTAACAAAAATTCATATCTATAGAAAACGTTTCGGACTAATTGTTTGCTTTTAAATTTTTAGTAAACTTGCGATTTAAGCAAACATGCGACATCAACTCAGTTATTGATCAATTCCGTTATTGATCAATTCAGTTATTCATAAATTCCGTTATTGATCAATTCAGTTATTGATCAATTCAGTTATTCATCAATTCACTCACCTTCTTCCGCCCAGGCGTCCTACACACACTGGACGTGACGAGTTTCTCATTCAGCTTCCGCACTTTGGTCTTCAGGTCCTCATTCATGAGCTCGACCGCATCCAACTTCTCCTTAACCTGCAGACACAGTGAACGATTCAATGACTTCCCAACAGATGAACTAAGAACTACCAACAATAACAAAGTGAACGATTCAATAACTTCACAGAACTACCAACAATAACATAGTGAACGATTCAATAACTTCACAACACAGCAAATAAACAATAATAAAAATTCCAGAGTACTTCCAGTGAGATGGATGGTGTCTGGTTAGAGCATCTACGCGCGTCTTTTACGACCTATTACGAGTCAATAATAATAATAACGTCTCTTGGAGAATAAATATGAAAAAAATGCTAGAAAACAAATTTTTCAGTATTCGTGTTGACTCAATGTCATTAAAAGATTCATGCACAACAGGAGATTTACCCCATTGATCCTTGAGCTTTGAATTCATCAAGATCATATGTGCTGGCAAGACACAAGAACACATTCTGGCTCCGCTTCCATTAATGAATAAACTTGTTAATGGGGATGTAAAGGAATCATTTATATGTTAAATAAAGCTTGATAAATGGTATGGCGCCCAAGATCTGCGGTACCTCATAGGATAACAAGCCCTCAAATCTGCCGTATCTGTGTCGGGGTTCTCGAGTTATAATTATATATTATATAATTATATAATTTAAATTAAAAAAATGCCTTCTTGTAATTAGTCAGTATTATTCAATAAATGTAGAGTGCTTGGGCGAGCTCTCTAGAGGCCGTCTTCCACGTACGCATGGCCAGCAATGCGAGATACAACAACGTTGTTGTAATTCATCAACATCCGAATTTCAGCACCTTTCTGCAAGGTAATGATATTACCCACACCAGAGCATCAGCACCTCACCTGCAAGGTAATATTGCCAACACCAGAGTATCAGCACCTCACCTGCAAGGTAATATTACCGACACAAGAGCATCAGCACCTCACCTGCAAGGTAATGATATTACCATCAGACTATCACCTCACCTGTAGGACCTCGTCTGCTTTATTAGAGAGACGCTCACGCTCGAGCGCCTGCTGCAGCTCCTTGATCTCTTTGCTGTAGCGCTTCAGTAGCGCCGCCTCGCTTAGCACCTCGTTCACGATGGGCTTATTCTTGATGTTTTTGGCCCGGGATGCGAACCTGTCACACACAAAAACCTTTCACTTATATAATCCTCAGCAAAACTCTTACGCATTCCTGTAGGCTTAGCTATCTACACTTATATCTTTTAGAATAAATGAAGTCCCTTCTCAGAAATGCCAGTGAGACAAAACGTTTACAATATATGTTCATAACAATGAGTTTAGAGCAATCCACGTTCGGTAGTCAGTTTAGCAAATTGGTTTTGTGCTTTAAATATCATGTACGGGAAACAATTGTTAACGTGTGCTCTTATGCATGCTAAGCATCGCCTTATTTCCTGATGGTCCCTTCACTCAAATGGCTAACAGCATAACTTTTCATAATATACCTCGTCTGCTTTATTAGAGAGACGCTCGCGCTCGAGCGCCTGCTGCAGCTCCTTGATCTCTTTGCTGTAGCGCTTCAGCAGCGCCGCCTCGCTCAGCACTTCGTTCACGATGGGCTTATTCTTGATGGTCTTCGCCCGGGATGCGAACCTGTCACACACAAAAACCTTTCACTTATATAACCCTCGGCAAAACTCTTACGCATTCCTGTAGGCTTGGCTATCTACACTTATATCTTTTAGAATAAATGATCTCCCCTCTCAGAAATGCCAGTGAGACAAAACGTTTACAATATCTGTTCATAACAATGAGTTTAGAACAATCCCCGTTCAGTAGTCAGTTTAGCAAGTTGGGTTTGTGCTTTAAATATCATGTACAAAATAATTGTTAACGTGTGTTAATTTCTCATAATATAATAATAACTCTCTTCTTTCATAATATTCATCGATATTCTCATGTGCACAGAAATTCTCACTGGTGTTCTACGAGAAGGTAATTAATGGGGTACATTATTTTTAATGTAAACATGAGATTAGGAACTCATACGATTCTATTACGTTCTTCTTGAATATTTTTGTTGGTACAATAATTGTAATGGCACAATAAACGAAGTCTCTTATTAAAATTATCACCAGGCATACCGCCCGTTACCAGCACACTACACCAGGCATACCGCCCGTTACCAGCACACTACACCAGGCATACCGCCCGTTACCAGCACACTACACCAGGCATACCGCCCGTTACCAGCACCCTTCTAAGGAGATGGTCACCTCAGTGTTGACTGAGTCTGCCCTACAGACGCTGGGGTGACGGTGCATATGATGGCAGTGCGAGCGTTCCCGCCCAAGGAGCACTGCAATATGCGTGTCAGCTTGGAGTCTCGATAGTTGATGAAGGATCTGGAAATGCACAAAATTAAAACTATTTGATGCAACCATCATTTAAAGTCTAAATTAAAAGCGTCACTTGCAACTGATGAATTTGTTACAAGCTAGGTCTAAAAATAGAGAGCATTCCCCACTACCAGTGTAAAATGAACAAATATGAACCCAGTGTGGCCATGCAACTAGTAGACTTGGAAGAATTACATCTATAAGTTTCATGGGAATAAATAGGCCTTACCTTATTAGCCGTAAAGTTGTGATATTATGTGTGCTTAATTAACGCCATATGCTGAAATTCTCGATATTACCACTTAAAAAATGAGACATTTTAAAATTTTATGAATATTGTAATCAGGAATTATTGAAGTTATTACTGTAGCAATAACTCACTCTCCATCACTGAGCCGAGAGATGACGCGGCCTAGCATGAAGAGGCTCTTGTTGATGAACCCGCCCTTGAACTAATATGAACCCATGCAGCTATTAGACTTTGAAGAATTACAGCTATAAGTTGAAGTTATTACTGCAGCAATAACTCACTCTCCATCACTGAGCTGGGAGATGACGCGGCCCAGCGTTGAGAGACTCTTATTGATGAACCCGCCCTCCTTGAGCCGGTCGCCAGAGGTGCCGGTCTGCGATGCATTTTCTGACCCCGCAAGGTCTACGAGGTTCAGGTGTGAGACTGTCACCGCCACGTCATCCTCTGACAGTCCCGTCTCCAGGCTGTTGTCTCCATCAATAGCTGTCTGCGACTCGACTATCTGCACATACAGCCAATTACATAAGAATTGTAAGAAAACTAAACCATACTTGTCATTCAAGTAATAAAATCAATGTATCCACGGAAAACAATTTCTTTGTTGTCTCATGATTGAAGAGGTCAAGGAAAAGAGAGTAAAACAGAGAGATAAAACAACAAAATTCACACGCAAGTGTTGACAAGCAGTCTTTCAATCAGCAATATGAATAACCTACAGACACTGAAAATAACACAGAAAAATAATAAAAAATTTATGGTTAGAATAGTTCCCAGGTGTGAAGGACTGGAGAGCGTGCCCACAGTCCACTCATTGAGAAAACACTCGTAAAAGAAAGAACACTCACAATCCTGAATATTGTGTGTGAGCGCGAGCTGCGTTCGTTCATGTTTGTGCATCCCACTTGTCTGTTGCGGTCGCCACGATGCATCATGGACAGCAGCTACGTGGAATTGCATTAATTTAGTGACAGGTCAGCACTCTATATACAAATGAACTGCATGCGTGTCAAACTCAATCTCAATCAATCGTCAGCTATGGAAAGATCGGGTTACAAAGGCCGGATCCCTTGTGAATCAAGTCACGAAAAGTTCAAGAATCGGCAACAGGCCATGGGCCTATTTCTTCAGTGCCGACACTTCTATTATATTCTATGAACAAGAATCGGCAACAGGCCATGGGCCTATTTCTTCAGTGCCGACACTTCTATTCCATAACATAACAAGTAAAATAATTACCTACATAACAAGCGAAATGATTGCATAACTAGCAATTACACACCACATCAGCGTGTTACCTTGTCTTGGTTATTGACACACTCCTCCCTGAGGTCAGGAACATGGATGTTGCCTGACGTGTCTTCCCGCACCACGAGCCCCTTGTTGCCTGGAATGTTGGAGCGACCCACCAACAGGTCTGCGATTTGCTCATTGTATATTTCCATATACGAGGCTCTGAAGAAAAGGCAGCATCAGTTAGCAAGTTAAGCGAAGGTAGAGTTCCATTCGATTACAGAATAACATTTTATTACAGAATAACATTGTATTTTTTAAGAGAATTTTTATTGACAGACATAGAAGTATATAGTAAATGCTCAATATACCAATTTTTAACCCTATAATAAATTTGACAATGGGATTCATTAACATGCAATGGAAAGTTAGTCAGTAAATTTGTTAATTATGCAGAATGCAGAAGAGACCTGATGAGATATTGGCGGTGTGGTGTATCTTCAATGCCACCAAAGATGCTCTGGATGGTCAGGGGAATGATGCCAGGACTCTCTGCACTGCCCAGCATTGTATGGGTCTTGCCTGCACGTCAGGATTTAGGCTAGGACATGCATGAAAAATGCATTCATGATATACTGTAGGTCTACTTCTACTACCATCAAAGACATGTTTGTTAAGTGGATATTAGATTTCATTACATGGGCAGAGGGAAATGTTCCTGCAGTTTTTGCCACCTTTCACTGAGTTCTCAGTTGAATAAGTGTGATTGTAAGTAAAGCATCCCTCACCTGATGATGTCTGCCCATAGGCAAACACCGTTCCGTTGATGCCATTCAGAGCCCCTTCAACTATCGGCTGCATCACTTCGGAGAATATTTTTTCATTATCAGCAGTCTGGTCGAACACTTTATCTGCAAGACAATAACAATACCTCATAAACCTTATATTAAATGTTATGCAATTCAATCATGTGTTTTCTAATGTTCAAATTCAGGCACCCAACTATATTTGCAAATATTTCATTAAAATTTTATAATGGATTATTGCATGGGTAGTATCCACAAGTTTCTAAGAAAACTCACCAAAAGAGAAGGTAGCAGCATTTTTATCATGAGCCGTCACTTGCATGAGGCTGTTGGAACCTGTCACCTTCCAGTGCAGGGTCTCCCCCTCCTCTCGCGCTAGAGGCGGCCTCACACGCACGAAAACTTTGATGTTGTCGGACATTTTTTGGCAAATTATATTACTGCCAGTAACCAAGGGGGTGTCAATCTAAACAATACAGTTATCAATTGTGATTGGTTTCAGTGCAAGTGAATTCTATCACTAAAGCTTTTAATTCTTAATGGATTAGCAAAATTATCACATCAAAAAGCCTTGTAATGACACCTGGAAAAAAACTTTTCTCTTAAGACTTGATCAAAGATAATTAGCATCTCTTAAATAATTTATAGAATCTGCTGACAAGGCAGACAGGGGGTGTAGCACAAGAGGTGCAGGCAATGTTACTACACATGTGTGCCAGGAGTTTTAACACAGAACCTTTTTGAAAAAGTCCTACAAATCAAGCATAGCAGATTATGAATTTGTAAAATATATGATAGAATATTGTCAAAAAGGTCCTTAAAAAATAGAAAAATGTTGGACAGTTGGATTAGAAGAATATTAGTAATCAATCAATTAGAATCAAGCACAAAATAATGAGTGGGTAAAAAAACTAATAAGCCTGAAATAGAAGCAGAGGGATGAAGAATGGATTACCAGCATATATAGATTATTTTTCTGGCTTTTTTTCTGGTTTTTTGTCAGAAAAACACCTGGTGGACAGGGATGGCTATAAGGGGAGTTGGGAGGCTATCTTTTATTAACCCCTTCAGTTTTTAAATAACCTTGAATTCCTTCCCTCATTAAACTAATAAAGACAACCCATTACAATGGTGTGATGTCTGAGCAAATGGAAGACGAATGGATTGTAATGATAGTGGGTCTGTCAACAGGGGTGACTGCTGCTATGACAGCGTGGAAAGCGATATTTGGAGAGTGCATGGAGAATGAGGGAGAGGACGTTTGCGAGAATGGAGGCTGGAGGGGTGTAGGGAAAAAAAAGCAATAATAAAAATAGCAATGACTGTCTTTATATAAAAATTTGATAGAACACAAACCAGCATTTAGGGCCTAAGAGGCCACATATCTAATATGAACATAGCTAATCTGAATTGTAAACTCTACAGTGCAATAAGTAGTTTATAGCAATACCATAAACCAAATAAATTTCCTCTTTGAATTTCTCTCCCCTTGTTTTTTCATCTTACTGTTAACACAAACTTTTGCACCCCTCTGGTCTCTGCTTCAATTGTCACTGTCACCTGGCCTCCATTTTCTTTCCTAATAAGAACAAAAATGTGATGCGTGGCACATGTCCGTTGCAAAGGCCTGACTCCAGAATGCTCTTTTTCAGAGTCACCATGCCAAATTCAAACATACTCTACCTATCTGCTAAAAATCACAGAAAAATAGTTGTGACAATGTTTGTGCTAACAATATCAAAGATGTTTCATCCTGAATGACTTTGATGCATAAGACAGCTACTGCCACTGACACTGGGTCCTAGGCTGCCCTAAATGGCTAAATCTAATGCAAGATTGAGACAGAGTTCTCTAAAAAAATTTCTGAAAAAAATGGAGAGTAAGAAATACCATCAAACGGGGTAACAAGGGATGGTTTTGAGCATTTTTTGTTAATATCTTCTTACCATGAAACATTTCATTAACAAGTTTGGGCTCATTTTACAGCTCTTTGTGAGGGCTATCGTATGGCATCTTAAAAAAATTTCATATGCTATTCGCAAGGCGCCAGACACAGAATAAAAGCGTCCCAAATTATCCCTGGGAACGGGGTAATCCCGAACACTTGAAATAAAACTTAATTTTAAAACGTTTGAAGCATGCAGAGTGTACTCATCTATTTCTAATGGTACTCTGAAAACTTCCTCTTCCTTTTAAGATGATGTAGATGTAGAATAAATGACATTTTCCATGATTTTCCTTTATTGATATATAACAATATCCATACAATACCGTATTATTGATGTGATATTACCATATCCATGGACATGCCATTGGGCATTTACAACAACCTTGTCCACTGCAAGCTTTATATCAGCAGCCATATAGCACTTTTCTGTATAGGTAATTGCTTATAGGATGGCTTGTAATTTCACACCATTTTAATTGGCTCAAGTGAATTCACTATAACAAAAAAATGTCATAAAAACATGCCTGAAACAGTTTAGGTTAATTACTTTTCATTCTATATTGCCCGGTGCACAATTATATCTATGATTTTATATGCACAATTTTGTGATGACCAATGATGCATTAATTTTTCATTAAGTGAATTTTTTTTGATGGGAGAGGTAAATATAATCAAAATTTTTTGTTAATTGATTTTTTTCACTAAATGGAGCCTTTGTTAATCAAGGTTCTACTGTAAATGCATTCTTAGGGGTGTCCCTTATTACCCTGGGGGGGTGTCCCTTATTACCCTGGGGGGGTGTCCCTTATTACCCTGGGGGGGTGTCCCTTATTACCCTGGGGGGGGTGTCCCTTATTACCCCGTCCTGTGGAAATAGCTGCCATTTTTTTGGAATGAGATGTGTGAATTCATGTGTGAACACCAGTGTGCAACTTTTATGTAAGTAAAATTTTTTTATATGGCAAATATTTTTTTTTTGCTACAGACCTTAGCAGAAGTACGTATGTTTCCAAAATCTCACTTTTCACACTTTTTTCCAGGGACTTTTTAGAGGTGGTAGATGTATGATTTCTCAACTTACTTTATGCCACATAGATAGTAAAACTGTTGAACTTTATGCCACTATTTTTAGCTTTGCAATATTTTGATTAGTTGAGCTGCTACAACATTTCTACAAAATGCAGGACAACTGTCCTGATTTACCCCACCTGTCCCTTATTACCCTGTTTGATGGTAAACCAAATGAAAAGTATTAACAAGAATAATAACAAATGTAAGAATATGCGGCATTAGCATAAAAATCACTTTGTTAGAATGTACCCTCCACTTCTTTGACCGTTAGTAGATCGGCAGCCATTACTGGCAAGTGTGGAATTCTGGATAGGTATTATATTCTCATGTTCATAAAAGAAAATGGAGCAAAAAGCTCACCAAGTTACACCTTCCACCACAGTGACAATTGATACACTGAGCTAAACAGAAACTGCTGTGGATCCTATATCATTCATGGGCCTTGGTTTGGAATCCAATACAAAGTTGGCAATTCCGTAATTGTTTCTCTGTAGCTGACAAATTTTTGCAATGAGTATGTTCTAAAATAAAAATGCTTACATGAAAACATTTGACAAGACGATATAACATTTTGTTTTAGTCATGTCAAGTTTGATTTCACAATAAATAGATTTGACCCACATTCAACACTGAGATTTAAATGATGGAAAGTTGTTTCAGAAATTAGACATCAATTGATATGCATCCAGATATGAATTTTTCACGTTTTTGCCTATTATGTCAATATTGTCTTAATAACGTCACTTCAAATTCTTAATGATTTCGTCTCACATCAAGAGTTTTCGAATGTCTTGTGTCTTTTAGAAAATGTTCGTCATTTAGAAGGGGCAATTATTGCATTATATAGGCAAAACATTGAGCATGTACCATGAGGTGTTTTGAATAATTCAATTTAATTCACTATAAATTAATTTATAATTTAAAAATTTCAATCAAAATTTAAAATTCAACATTTTATTAATAGAATTTAATTCTACAGTATGTACCATCTGGTGTATTAAATAATTAAATTTAATTCAACAAAATTTAATTTCAATTCATTTTTTTAAATTTAATTCAATTCTACAGCTGCAGCCGGTAAAAATGAGCAACATAGGAATGAAGTAAAGTTTTCATTCATACATCCCAAATTGAATGACAATGAATGAAGTTGATAGGTGTTATATTAATACCGTTTATATATAGGAATGAAAATGACGCTTTTATTTCAGAATCTGTTCCTGAATACATTTGTGAAACTACCATAATACTTATGGTAAATACCATAACCATGATACTACAGTATTTACATACCGTAATATTACAGTTGCATTGCAGCATTGAAACCATAATATGACTGCTTATTGTCGCTTCATACTGCCAACCTTCTGGAAGCAGCATTGCCAATCGTCAAATGCAGTCGCTCGTTAGCTTTCATCAAGTGAATGTGTATGAGATTTTTCTCCTGCAAAATAGCTTAATGGTGCAGCATGTTAGGTTCAACTCTTATTGGCATGATTTGTTTTTAATTCATAAATGTTAATTTGTTGTGTTTGACTTGGAGACGAATTGGCAATGAATATATATTTTGTCTAATTGAAATCTTGAAGTATTCCAAGTTGCAACCTACATTTTTGATTCTTTCAAGTATAACTTTAATCCCTCCCTATTTTTATTCATTCTATCTTGACTAAAATTTTTGGATCAAAAAAGTGGTGGAGGTGAATCAGAAATAATATATGACCTTAATTTTCAGAATTCCATTCTGATATTTACTCAGCATCAGCCAGGGTGCAGAATGTGGGTGAATATTGCAAGATCTTTGGCAACGCATCAGCAGCAAATTTCACACCCTCAAAAGATCTTGCCAAAACATTTGGATTGAAATTATTGCATTTTGGATATTCGCCAGTCTTCAGCCAACTATTAATATAAAAAATATCTGAAAATCTGAAACTGCAAGCGCACACAGTAAGGTTTCCGGTACGTTTGATGGATTAGGATGCAGTGAAGCTTGTCCGGAAATCAGTTGCAATGAGTAAGTTTTGCAGTTCATGGAGAGTAAGGGATATACTATAGAAGTTGTTAGCAACATTTTCTTATTAAAAATTACCTGGCAACGCATCTTGAAAATGGCTGGCAATGTTTTGGGCTAAAAATCCATATCTTGGCAACACAGCTTGCAAACTCTGCAGTCTGCACCTCAGATATTTAGGGATAGTTACAACAAACAAATGGAGGAGAGTGTGGCATCGATCAGTTGCTTTAGATGGCAGCACCAGTAATAAGGGAATGTGGAATTCTGTATAGGTAATAAATTCCCATGTTAACATGAGAAAATGATCGAAAAACCTACCACATCACACCTTCCACCACAGTGTCAATTGATACACTGAGCTCATCAGAAACTAACGCGCTTCCAAAATCGCGCGTGGTTTGAAATCCGATACTTTGCTGAAAATTCCTCACTTGATTAAGTTCACTAGTCGTTTATCTGTATCTGACAAATTTTTGCTATGAATATGTTCTAAAATAAACAAAATTATGTCAACTTTCGCAGAAAATTTGCACAATTTCACCAATACCA